AAGGTCATGTAATTTGTCCATACTTTCTTTGAGTCTCGAAACCAATATTTTATTCAGATGATTAAGTCTTGTCGGGTAACGAGATTGGATCAGTATTGGAACAGTCAATTTTTCCCCTTCTTTTGGGGCGGGCAGAATAGAAGTCTTAGTCTAAACTGAAACAGCTTTACCTTCTATAGGCTTTTGGTAGCTGTAAAAAAGGACTTGATTTCGTTTTTATGCAGATGTTCGAGATTATCAGTAGAGCTTGAAAAAGAGCTGTATTCACCATACTTAGTTTAGGGTGATGAAGGAGTATTAGTTCAATTTTCCAATGTTATTTTCTATTTTGAGCTTGCTTAAAAAGAAAATTTGCACTTGTCATTAAAATCGACTACATTATTATTTTTTGCTTTTCGGGTAGGCTTTCGAGACTACCAGTAGATCTTGGATAAACAGTGTTTTTACCCCATATTTTATAGGCTTAATGGTAACACGTCAAGACTATACGCTCCATTATCCGGGTTTTAATCTTGCTGGGAGTAATGAAAACGGACGGTCAGATGAATTAAAATATCTTCCAGAAAGAAATGTTAAGTGAAATACAATGGAAGCATGAGGCCTACTCATATGATTGTGGGAAAATTCAACAAATAATCCTTGATCACCCTTAATGAAATCGAGTGAAACTATTTCATATTCAAGATCTACTGGTAGTATCGAAATCTCACTCGACAATTAAAATATGTAATTTAGTCGGTTACTATAGCGAATATAGCTTAGCTTGTATGTGATATGGGAAAGACCTAGGCTTCCTTGAAATTCACATCTGCCCTGCGACCAAGGGCATTAGTGACAGTCTGGCGTGGTGTTTAACATGTCGAGACTATACGCCGCACTGCAGCAACTCAGGTTCGAGTCCCGCTGGAGGAGCTGATGAGAATACCTTATGGGAAGTGAGGACTATGTGAACTTCAATGGAGACATGAGGCCTACTTATGCGACCGTGGAATGGGGTGGATAGAGTTCTTAAAAAACTTGCTTCTATCGCGACATTCCTGCACATTTTATGCCTTAAAAGTGGAACCTCATCAAGGATTGGCTCAATCCGTCCTTGCCCTACGAGAGATGAGTCCAGTAGGCGTGGCTTCAGAGGAAAATATGTCCTCTTCTGAAGTCCACGGGCCTACTCAAACAGGACAGATGAAGACAGTTGTACCGGTCGCTGAACTGCTCAACATGACAACAAAATGTCCCATTTCCGATACTTTTAAGAGTGTTCTGGGCTCTAATGATGCTTCGACCGCAGGTTCAGTCAAACAAACAGACGCTCTTTGGCGATTTGTCATGACACCTTCAAATGGTCCCATGCAAAGTTGATTGGACATCGTCGCAAAATTCGTCAAACGGTATCATTCGTCATATCGGGACTACGTCCTGCCTGGAACAAGACTAGCGTCGGCAACCCGACGTGCCGAAAGGCTGGTGGGGCGTGTTGGTCAGTCGGCAGAGTGGCTGTAGAAGAGGTGTGCATTGTGACCAGACGCAAGTTTGAACATCTCAACTGACTACATGTTAAGGGCATAGTTTTTTTCTAGAAACACGATGCTAAGCCGACCACAGCTTTGCCAGCTTCAACTCAGCCCCTCCTGGGGGCATGGAAAGGGATGGACAAAAAGTACACCCTCACAAGTCTAAATATGAACACAAACACTCACGCACACGCACACACACACACACACACACGTACCTGCCTATAGAGAAGCACACACAAGAGAGAAAACCAATCCGGTTTTCGCA